TGGAGTACGAGAAGGAGACGGGAGCATAAAGAACACAATTACGCGAACGTGGTATTCCAAGGAGCATTGAAACATTTCGGGTTCTTTCTGTTGTTCTTTTTGTCTGCCCTCTCTCTCACTCTCACTCTACCTCTCACTCCCTCCCCCCTTGTAATGGTTTTCTTCATATTTCGCTGCTCTGAGATATTTTTTATTATATTTATTCCCGCACTTTTTCGACTCATTTCTCATTTTGAGACAAACCACCCTCGCCTTCGAGTTCTTTTCTTTGCTAGAGTGCTTATGGAACTCTGCAGCTCTCTAGCCTTTTGCGTGGTTTTGTGAAAAATCTTAAAAGTGGCAATATTCTAAAAAGCTTTACCTAGCAAACGCACATTCGTGAAATAGGGGTTGCTGAGTTAAAAATGTTAATCTATGCATAATAATCGGAATATAGGTATGACTTGAAACAGTTTGCGGATCGCGTATGTATGAGCGCCTTGTCGTCTAGGAAGGGAGCTCTAATGTGGCCCAAACCATCACCATCACCCATCATCCCCCTCCCCCCCCCTCTCCTACTCCCACTCAGCTCATTTACATTCGTATGCACACATGCAGACATATATCCGACCTATTCCCCCCAATACACAACTACACAAAGGCACACTTACTCATGCACACAGGCTCGATTTGTAAATGTTACATGAGCAGTCAAAATATATGTGCTTACACACAGCCATGTACATGCACATACACATCTACACATCTTCGGAAAGGAAGAATTCTCGTTTGTTGTTTATTGTGATTCCACAGTCTTTTTTATTTTAATTTCGTTGTTCGTCATTATCGATTTTTTCGTCTTTCCTTTGAAATTTGCCTTTATCCTTGGCCGGGGGAAGCAGTCGCAGTCGGTTGGGCAAAGGCGGAACTGAGGTCCTGATTGAGGGATGATGGTTTTTTAGATACCCACACAATATCCAAATGTGAGTGTGTGTGCGCCAAGGCGAGGCACAGACACAGCAATTAGTAGGGACCAAGTTTGAACCCATCCATAAGCGGCACATGCTCGAGTTGGGCTTTATTTACCTATTTACCAAACAAAACTTTCCTTTAATTGGTTCCCATGCGAGCGCCCACGAATTGCACACACAGCCATCTCATCTATATATATTAAACATATAAACACATACGAATTCCAGCACCAGTGCCGCACATAATTCAAAGTCTTCTTGTGTGTGCGGTGAGTGCCGAGACAAAAAACGAGTACATATGTAAGTGAGTGCCAGGGGGAGAGCGAGAACGTGCGAGCGAGACGGTTGGAGTGTGGAAGAGTCAGTGCTTAATTGGTTGGGCCAGTAATTAAGATTTTGCCAAACCGAATGTTCTTCCCCTCTCTGGACAGAGTGGTTGGGTCCGAGGGCGGGGGGGTTCTCTGGCGACAACGAATCACGTATGCCGATTCCCAGCCACTGACAACGCGAATGGGGTGTGATTCGAAAGGCGTCAATTAACTCTACTCTATGAACCACCCACCCAGCCAGCCCAGCCAGCCCAGCCACCCACACATGACGGAAAACACAAACAGCGAACCAAATACACCCACAAAGGATTGGGGCGGCAGGTGCGGACGTGTGGCGAAGAGTCGACAAAGAGGAGAGAAAATGAGCAGAGGAGGAGTGGAGTGGCGAAACCAGGCAGAGAGAAGAGAGAGAGATGAGGGCTTCAGCAAGCGACAACCGACCAATCAAGTCGCGCTTTGGCGGTTGTCGCGCACAGTTGCCATACTCTTCTTTTGCTTTTGATTCCGTTTCCGCTGTTCCCACTGTTTCTGCGCTGGCATCATCCGAGATTTAACAGCGAAAGAGCGAGGGCAATAAGCCCAGCTCTCTGTCGGTTTCGCTGTCGTCATCATTGCCTTTGTCTGTGCTTAATTACTAGGCTGATTTTGGTTCTCAGTTCAGCGCTGCCCTGCTCTGCCCCGCTTTGTTCTTTTCTGTTCGGCTTATTTCGGTAGAGCTCGATTCGTTCGTTGAACCAACTTCAGTCCCCAACCAAATGCGAAAAGTACACACAATCTCCGTGACTGCTCACAGCTCCATCGTCATTGGCTAATTAGATGTCTGCTAGTAATTAACAGGGCCCAAAGGGTGATTTGCCATACGTACCGCTGGGTTTTAATTGGCGCTCAGCCGAACCTCTGTTCCCACAGGAAGACAATTCATGCAACAAACTCAAAATATGCATCAAGGTCTTTGCGTTTTTGTCTTCCCCACAAGCTTATGATGCGAATAGTGTCACATAGTGCTGGCAAGCTTTTTATACCCGTTACTCGTAGAGTACCCGTTTCCGGCTTTATAAAGTATATATATTCTTGATCAGGTTCACTAGCCGAGTCGATCTAGCCATGTCTGTATGTGTGAACGCTGGGATCTCGGAAACTATAAGAACTAGAGAGTTGCGGTTTTGAATTTAGATTCCTTATATTAGTTTATTATGTCGCTTAAAACTGTGGCACCCGCAGTTTTGAAGCCCAAATGAAAAATTAAGGTCAACTGCATTTGATTCGTCAAAAAAACCCTTAGGTTGGCGCCCATATTTATGGCTTGCGTTGACTCTTGGTTTAAAGTTAAAGCTAAGTAACGGGTATTTAACAGTCGAGGCATTTGTTTGATTATAAAATGGAAACCAAAAAATTAGCATGGTTCATGTTGTTAGGTTACACAAATTTGCAAAATAAAACAGCAAAATAAAAACAGCAATTTGTAAACGCCGTTATTATTTTACTTTTACAAATATTTTTACCCTGTTTTTGCATAATAAACTACGAATTTTAGTCAATAATTTTCGCTATGTAGGGCCGTCAAAAAATAATAGGGAAAATTGTGAAGCAGAAGTGTAAATTTATATTTTTATATTGAGTTATTGCCAGAAGGAAGCCTTTTCCACACCCATAAAATATATTTATTCTAGATCATGATTATCAATCAAATCAATCTAGCCAATTCCGCCCGCCTCTCCATAGGATCGTCGATATCTCAAAAACTATTTAAGCATAATCATTATAAAACTAACACGCAAATTCTTGTAATCGTTGTGATCTTCAAGGTTGTTTCCAAAAAATTGGTAATTCCAACCAATTTTTTCAAATCTTGATACTATCTTATATTCCAATACTCGAAATCAATTATCTTTTCTGTTTTAAGTTTTTTGTTTGTGCAAAAATTTGAAGCGATAACTTGTTTTGCACAGGCCAATTATTCTGAAGAGGGGTGCAGCTTTCAACATTACAAGATCGTAGAAGTGTAATTGCTTAGCTTTTATATTAGACTTTAGAGGTGGAGAAAAAATCGATGGGAAAATCGATAGATCGATGTTTGTTGATATTTTACAAACATCGATGTTCCATCGAAAAAACATCGATGTTTTTTTGAAGTAAAAATCAAATTTTGTTACGTTTTCCAAGCTGAACTGAACTGGTCAGAGATATTTGTAAAATAAAAAAACAAAATGCTTATACATATGAACACATGCATTCCGAATATAAATGGAAAACTAATTTCTAAAGCGTGCACTGTACAGGCACGACAAAGAAAAACTGCAAGCCCTCATCTAATACTCTAGATTAGCGGACTCACCCTCGAAATTCGCGAAAAAAGTGTCTTCGATGGACCGCGATTTCTTAAGAACTCTCAAAAGAAATCGCTGTCCAAGGGGGATTATATTAAATTCTTAAGAAATCGCGGTCCATCGAGGATACTTTTTTCGCGAATTTCGGGGGTGAGTCCGCTAATCTAGAGTATTACCGGCCATTGCAATCTGCAGTTACTGGGGAAAATCTTTGAAAACATCAGGGAACACAATAAATATGATAAAACATCTCAAGCCAGCGAATTTGTCGAGCCCATACTCTTCAGATTTAAAACGGAAAAAAGTAATCAATTATTTTTTCTTTCTTAATAGCCCAGTTTGTACAAATTTATTTTTATTTAAAAACATCGATGTTTTTCGTTCCGGTCTGTCTCCTGCTCTTGGTAGTAATCTTTTAGCTAAAATTTAAATACCCTCTGCAAAGGTATCTTTATGTTCATGTTTATATGAGTAAAAACAATTGCAAATATACGCCAAGTCAATAGAAATGCCCATTTTTAGTCAAAACCATCGAAAAACATCGATGTTTTTTGACAAAAACATCGAAAACATCGATGTTCCCAAAAATCGATATTTCTCCACCTCTATTAGACTTACTTTCTGGCAAAATTTTTTGCCCTATTTTGTTAAATATTATTAGCCTATCCGTGCCTAGTAGGGCTCTAAGAACTGCGAAACCTTTTTTATTCCTACACACAGAAGAAATAACGCTCTAAATGAGCCTATTTACAGGGCTTTGCATCTCTTCAACAGTCTGCCACTTAGCATGCGATTGGACCCAAGTTCGTCAAGGGATAGCAATAAGAAGGCCCTGTTATTATATTTTTCTAGATTTAGTAACTAGTTAATAGTAAGTTAAGTAATCTCTTGGCGAAATAAATAAATAAATAAAAAGCATTATACAAAAATAAATATGTCCCTTGGCACGCCCATTGCCCATAGCTCTATTATAATTATTATAATTATTAACAAAATTAATTCAAAGTCATAAAAGATTTTAAATTAATTTAAATTAAAATTCCGGAAAAACCGGATAATGAGTGAGCTAAGTGAGTAAGAGGTATCTGATAGTCGTTTTTTTTTTCTAAATGTTGCAACAAAAGCATAGTTTTCTGATAAGTAATTCCAAATTCCTAACTTTGTAATTCATGGTTTCTTTTTTACTGATTCGATTCGTCGTTCATAGGGACTCGAAATGTTGTTCTTTTTTATTCACTTTGCACGAATATACCTTCCATCCTGTGGAATATGCGTTTTGAAAAAACCTTGTTCTCGAATGTTTTTAAAACTGTACACAAATTTAACGATATTTAGGCACTAAACTAAACATCGGTATCAATTAAAAATTTATTTATAAATCTATCTGTACTCACCTGAGGTTCTTAGGAGCCGTCGAATCCATTATCAGCTGACTGGAATGCTGGACCTTCAAGAGAAGGCATTTAGAATTTGGTCGAATTGTATTTGTGTTTGCACATATATATTGTGGTTGGACTTGAAGTATGTTGGGTTATTAGCTAGTTCAGTTGGTAATTACTTTAAGTTAGCGGCGATAGTTTTGTACTATGTTATGTTTTATCCTTAGGCTTAAATATTATAGGAACTTTTGAATCGAGCGCTTGTAGACGTGGGCGAGTTAATTCATTGGCCTGCGGCACCTAGGAATGGTGTATACAACACTATAATTATATTTATCACAATGTTTCGACAATCAACCAAAAATTCACTTCATACATAATTATATAAATGTCGAGTTTAGTTCAAACATTCTTTTCTGTTTTGTAACGGGAATTAGAAACCACATTCAATATTTAAAAAAAATCAAATGCAAATTATTGAAGCACATTTTCCAAACCCAAAGTCCAAATACAAATTTGAGCATCATCATGACCTCAGGGTCTGCGGTTTTGATTTCGCATTTGTGTGAAGCTATCAACCAGGGACAGGTGGTAAATAGGCATGGCAGGATATTGAAGCAGGATGTTAGGGAGAAGACAGCAGGGAACAGCAGGGCTCGAAAAGAGCCAAATTAAGTGCAAACGCTGGTGTACGAATGGACATACATATGTATGTGTATGTATATGTTGGCACACATGTATGCGGGTGTAATTGCCGTGACCAGTGACAGGTGACAGGCGAAAGGTGATCGACCTAGTGCTACCAGTTGGCACAGGAGTGGTTTGGACAAGGATTCGATCGTAAGTATATGAATTTGTTGCGTTTTTTGTCCTGCACATCCTACACGTTTCATTACGCCTATGGGAACGAGTGCTTGTTCATAGGGATCTGCACATGCATGTGTACCCAGAAAGTACCCAGACTAAAGGACTATCGACGACTTGAAAAGTCCTTTTTACCCACACACATACACGTCTATTCACACACAGTTTGACGAACGACTGCTAAAAAATAATTTAAAAAGCTCATATATTCGCACATACACCTATTTACAATATATGCACATCTGCATGTACATATGCATACATACATATGCCTGGAGGAGAGCGAATTGAGTGAGTTAGTCAGATGATGTGAGTGGGTGAGTGTAGGAGTGTGTGTGGCTGGGAGATACGATATACGCGCGCGTTACGCCCAGCGATTTAATTTGCCAACTTTTTGCGTTTTTGCATTTTTAATATCAACACTTTTACTCCTAGTTGGCTGCTTATAACGAAAGCGAGACAGTTGTCTCTTTTTTATGCACACATTTGCACACACGCACAGTTACAGACACAGTCACAAGTGGAAACTTCTATTCCCATACTTTCCGACTTTCAATGACCCCCTCGCCAGTACAATGGGCCCGACAGAGAGGGGAGAGCCAGCGTGACAGAGAGAGAGCGAGACAGAAATAGAGACAGAGCCTGAGAGAGAGGAGGCATTCATTTTTGCATACACTTCTCTCGTGGACCACGTGCTCATTAAATCGTTGAAAGCAATTCATAGAGCACATCCACATCCAACAGCCGTAGCCGTCTAGCACCCTTTTCCTGCGGCGCGCTCTTTCGGCTGCTTTCCTTTCCTTCCTTCGACTTCCTTTCGTTTCGCGCACCCTCGGAACAGCTCGGTTCTGCTCGGCTCGGTTCAGTTCGGTTTGGATCGTTTCGGCCCATAATGCAATTAAAAATAAAAAACTTTCCCCGGACGGATTCCCCGTTTTCGTTAGCCTCGATACTTTTTAATACGGTACGATTCGCCATCTCTTTTTAGTAATATTGAAATGAAATTCTGCCCTGTCGGCGGAGGGGAGGGGAGGAGTGGAGTTGTTGTTGTTGCTAGGCACACATGCTCGCAAGTACATACAGATAAGGGTGAGTGTATTGTTTTGTGCGGAGGACTGCACCGTTAACATGCACTTAAACATTGTATTTTCGATTTGATTTAGCCGAGTATTCCAGCAGGCTGGTCGGAAACGGTTGACAGTCATTCGTATTCGAGACAAATATATCCTTTGCCGAAGGTGCAGGTGTGGGCAGGAAGTGATGCTGAGCCGATCTCACTCACACGGCAATTGATTGAAACTGGTTGCAATGGTTACTGGGTTACTGTCTGCTGTCCCATTCATGCCTTGATAATTTTTCAATTTTTCTGTGAACTGAACTACACTGTTCGGCACAACACAATCCGAAGAGTGTGAATGCTGGGTTCACCACTCAGGTAGACGCGCGATAACGACGCACCCACATCGAAAACAGATATCACTATCCTTGGGATCCGGATTGGGATTGCGTTAGGTGGCAACGCGGGGGCTACATATTCAGAACCACCTTTTCAGATAGCTGATTTCACTTTTTTTGGCGTTTTCCCTTGCACTTTTCACGTATGCCACAGTCAACCAGCGAATAGTCACAGTCACAGCCACAATCACAGTCCCGCCAGCGGCAAAAACATCATCAGGGAGATCTACAGCGAAACGCATCATCTGAGCACTCAGAACTCAGAACTCACCATCCGACCCGCATCTGACTCATTCAACGTTTTTTTTCGACTGAGCTGAGAGCCGGGCTTACTTGTTTACTTGCTGCTCAATGCCTCTTCGCTCTCTGGCGCGCTCGTGCACGGCTCTCGTCTCTCCGCGAAAGCCGAACGAACCCCAACAAAATCGAATCATGCGTATAAAGCCAGGTTCGAGAGAGACTGAGAGTCTCTGCGAGATTTCCGTAATGGGGTAATTATTGCCACGCAGAGTGGTAATTACGAAAGAGCGAGATGGAAGAAGAGGTGATAAAACAATGTACCAATGTGCTTTATGCTCTCACAGCGAGCCTCTCTTTTCCTCCTTTAATTTCTGCCTGTCCGCGTGTGAGCGTGTATGTGTGTACCCCTGTTTTGTGTGGGTGCAGCTTGAGCAATCATCTTTCATTATTTTTGTATTATTGCCGACGGATGTTAAAGGTTCCACCACGGGCCAGATCCACATCCCATTGTCTGCTGAATGATCGGGAATATTTGTTGTAATTAAACCTGTCTAAAAGAATCACAGCAAATTTTTTGAAACAAAATGTTGTATTGCATAGCTTTATCATCTAAAAATAAGGTTCTTTATAAGCTTTTATTCTTTATGTCTAACGAAATATTTGTTTTGCTTGAACTAGAACACACATCTGTTCTTTGATTTTTTCTGGAATGCGGGACGATTTTTAAACCTATAAATTCTGTATTACGCTCAACAAATTATCTTTATGTCTAACGAAATATTTGTTTTGCTTGAACTAGAACACACATCTGTTCTTTGATTTTTTCTGGAATGCGGGACGATTTTTAAACCTATAAATTCTGTATTACGCTCAACAAATTATTCGCCCTGAAATTTGTGGTACTATGTATAACGGTTGCCAGATTTGACTGTTTTGGGTCAAATCTGGTTTTTTTTTCGCGTTGGCTCTTTGGTCCATTTTTATAGAATTTGGCTCTTTTTTGCTAAAAGCTATAAAAAATATTTTAATCTTGAAGAAAACGAATTAAAAGGGATTAATGTCTGAAACCCAAAAGGGCCAGATCGAAACTAAATTTTTTCGCTAATATGGTAATTTGGTATATGGTAAGAATTTGGCTATTTATACCCGTTACTCGTAGAGTAAAAGGGTATACTAGATTCGTGCAAAAGTATGTAACAGCTAGAAGGAAGCGTTTCCGACCCCATAAAGTATATATATTCTTGATCAGGGTCACTAGCCGAGTCGATCTAGCCATGTCCGTCTGTCCGTCTGTCTGTCTGTCTGTCTGTCTGTCTGTCTGTCTGTCTGTCTGTCCGTCTGTATGAACGCTGAGATCTCAGAAACTACAAAAGCTAGAAGGTTGAGATTTCCCACACATATTCTTTGGCTTCCTACGCAGCGCAAGTTTATTTTAGCCGAGCGCCACGCCCCCTCTAACGCCCACAATCGCCCACTAACGATTTTAAAATGGGTCCTGCGCCCACATCTTTAATGATTTCCGAGAAGTATAAATGCAATTTTGTTGTGTATATTTATACCTATCGAAATGTAGAAGACATTTTTCAAATCGGACCATTCATTAAAAAGTTATACGCAATCAAAAATTATATATCTATCTCCCTCGCACTCCCTTTAGCTGAGTGACGGGTATTAGATAGTCGGGACAACAACCCGACTATAGCGTTCTCTCTTGTTTTTATTCAAATTGACTCAACTATCGAAATATAGAAGAAAATTGTAAAATCGGACAATTAATGGATTGTTATAATCAAAAAATAAAGTGACCGCTAGTCGGTGCCAGTAGCTTTTTTCATATTCCTCGAACCGCCTTTAGCTGGAAAATAAGTATCTGATAGTCGAACTACTCAAATATAGCGTTTATGTTGTTATGGTGCAATTTGTATTTACCTACATACATGAATTCTTAATTACAATGACACCGCGAATTCTTTAGGGCATGAGGAACATATATTGACCATCATAAAAAATTTTTTGCTAACCAATTGAACCCATACACAAATTCATCAATACAATGAGACCGCGAATTCTTAAGTGTAAGAGGAACCATCTTGGCCAAAAGTTTGGAATTCGTAACTATGCACGTATGGTTGACAATGCAGGTTCCTCTAGTGCTAAAGAATTCGCGGCCTCATTGTGTTGATGAACTCATGTATGGGCTTAATTGGTTAGCAAAAAAAACTACAAAATTTTTTACGATGGTCAATACTTGTTCCTCTTACACTAAAGAATTCGCGGTGTCGTTGTATTAAAGAATTCATGTATATAGGTAAATACAAATTTCACCATAACAACATAAATACAAATTCCAACCCAATTTCAACAGATGAGAGTTCGTGACGTCATTGGTAAGAGATATTTTTGACTATTTTGTGTTTCAGTCGCACAATAACAGTTATTTTTAGACTTTTATTTTAAAAGTCTAAAATAACAGTTACTTTATGACCAATTTTAAAAAAGTTAACAATTTTTAGGTAATTGCGGATATGAATAGGCCGCAATAAATTGGCTTTATGATTTTTTTCTCAAATTTTTAGTGTTATCCTAAGCGTATGGTTTTTTCGATTAAAAATAATAAAATAACTGTTATTTTCGGTCCCTGGTTTTTCTTTGATGTTCATGTTTTAACCATAGCACTATAATCCAAAAGTCGATTTTTTTGGCATAAACTCTAAAAATTGAGTCACAGACTTAAAACTTTACACATTCTGTTTTTTTACAAAGAATAGTATGCAATCAAATTTTTGAGTCTGTGCGACCACGCCCTCTTTTGCCTCCCATACAAGCAAATTCATAATACTACACTGTGTTTTAAAATTTAACCTTTTTTTAAATACCTCGATGAAATCTTAAAAGTCCTATTTGCTTTAAATAATCGGCGCTCTAAATGTGCTCTCGAAAAAATTTTTCACACCCAAGGATTCTAAAAAAAAGGACACTAAAGTTGGAAAAATTCTGTTTTTGGCAAACTTTGAACCTATTTTGCAGACGAACGGATTCTTCGTATGTAATGTAACTCAAAACATTTAAAAAGTGCAACTCTGTATCTTTCAAATCCCACACTCACAATAATTTTTGTAATTTTTTTAACGGAATTATAAGCAAAGGAAGACATTTCCTTTTCTTTCTCTTACGAATGCTTAACAAGGAAGGATTCAAAATAACTACTTTTTTAAATTTATTTTTGATGTTTTATCATCTTTTAAGTGGTAATTGATAATTTTTACAGAAATGCAATCCGAAAAAATTAAATTTTCGATTGTTGCTGCGCCAAATATCCTAGAGATCGCTACGAAGAAACTTTAAGGTCCCTGAATAGTGTGGAATTGCGTGAAAAGGGGGACGAACGGGGAAAAGGTGTTAATTAGCGCTGAAAAACGACATGTATATGTACAAACTGGCGTACTTAGTTTTTGTGGGCAGACGTCGGGTCGTTAGTTTTATCCCACTAAATACAGGGAACAAATATTAATTTTCTATAAAAATACACATAAATTGGAAATTAAACACAGGTCGAACACTAAGATTACACATTAATGTACTATACACACTAAATATTACATACCTTGATCTTTCATTTCCATAATTTACTTAATTTAGTCGGGACAAAGAAGTTTTATTTTTTTGCACAAACGTAAAGAAAATATTATGGCGCCAATTTCTTAGTCCTAAGCAGCTGATCGATTGTGTACTTTTGAAAGCTCATAAAAAGCGTTAGTGTAGCTTTTAAAGTTTTTTTTTTTTAAGTTTGTATATGTATGATCTATTAACTTTAAGAATTTAAAATAAAAAATACAAAACATTAACATAAAAATTTCGACTTTATGCCAAAAAACCGGCCGCTCGGACCATAGTGCATAGTGATTTTTTTGAAAATAAAACTTATTGTCACTTTATCCTAGATGTGTAAGTTTATAGCAACATGAAAATTTTACCAAAAAAAACATATTAACAAGATAATTTATGCAAATAAGAATATAATAAATACATGTATGTTGCACCTGTGCTTACATATGTATTTACGATTAGTGATTATTGATCAGAATGGTATCAGAATAGCCAATTTCGCCAACTAAGGGCCGGTTTCTCGAGTGCCGGCTAACACATCTCGAACAGATAAAGTCCTTGTTAAGGGATTTTGGCTTTCTCGAGCATAAATGTGGGAGCTACCTTTAACAGGGACTCGGACTCCCTGCTAAGCGTTTTCGGCTCGACAAAATGACAGCTCATTACCCAATGCCAACTAAGAGGAAGAAACGAAATCACAGCTGACTTTGCCTTTTGCTTAAAGGAGTCGAGAAACCCGATTTGCTTTTAACAGGGACTCGAGAAACCGGCCCTAAGTACCTCAAGTTACCTCCTATGGCAGTGATTTAGAGTCGCTGGTTTTAATTGGGATCTATTGAATAAGATCCAGCAAAGATGCATACAAAATAACAACAAAATAATAAAAGCGGACAAAGAAATCAACAGATCTCATTACTCATTTACAATACATACAGGGGATTTTGCCTTGACGAAAATCTTACCGGAGTATCACTCCCGGTCTAACGCATAAATACCGGGAAAGTCGTGCCGGCGAAAGTTTAGATGCTAGCATACAAATTTAAATGGAATTGCATTTTTTTCGTGGTATTTTTTTAAATTAGTTAACAGAGTCAGCGGTAACTGACAGTCGTGTCACCCTAATACAACGTTTCTTCTACTTTTTACTTTTAATTGGAATGACTAAGAAACAATTTTTGTTTGCTAAAATATGTTATAGAAGTGAAATGTATTGTAATCTATTCACACGATCTTTTCTGTAGTCATAAATATATACAATCACAAAGAAAATGTGATTCGTTTGTACATTCAACTATTAAGTTTCAAAACTTGTACTTTCGGAAATATTAAAATTAAACTTTTGAAATATAAACTTTATTCTATTTAGTATATGATGAATACTACAGAGAACGGAATTTATATTATTTAGTACTAAATCAACACCGTTCTAAAAAACACTTAATACTCTAATAGTCTACATATAAGATCAAAGCTCTTA